CCCACAAGGATGTGTGCTGAGCCCCCTCCTCTTCACACTGCTGACCCACGACTGCACTCCTTCGTCCAGCTACAATCTCTTCGTTAAGTTTGCAGATGACACAACTGTAGTGAGTCTCATCAACAACGGCGATGAGACAATCTACAGGAGTGAGGTGAGCAGGCTGGCCTTGTGGTGTAAAGACAACAATCTCCACCTGAATGTGGAGAAGACAAAGGAGATTGTTGTGGACTTCAGAAAGACGCACCCCCAGCATGCTCCACTGACCATTGACGGTGCCACAGTGGAGAGAGTGAGCAACAGCAAGTTCCTGGGAGTGCACATCTCTGAAGACCTGTCCTGGAGCCACAATACTTCATCACTGGCCAAAAAAGCCAACCAGCGCCTGTACTTCCTCCGCAAACTGAGGAGAGCAAAAGCCCCGCCCCCCATCATGCAGACATTTTATACAGGCACCATTGAGAGCATTCTGTCCAGCTGCATCACTGTGTGGTATGGTGCTTGCACTGTGTCCTGCCAAAAGACTTTGCAGCGCACCGTGAGAGCAGCTGAGAAGATCATTGGTGTCTCATTCCCCCCCACTCGTGGACATTTACTACTCCCATCTCACCCGCCAAGCCATCCGGATCGCAGGTGAACACACAGCCTCTTCGGCCTGCTGCCGTCGGGAAGGAGACTGCGAAGTCTCCGTGCCAGAACCAGCAGGCTCAAAAACAGTTTCTTCCACCAGGCGGTCAGGAGACCCAACTCCCTCCCTGCTCTGCCTGCACTCCCCGCACTCTGCCTCTGCCCGACCCCTGCCTCCTGTCACAGACTATGACCCTCCCCTCATCATCCGACATCTGCGTATTGCACAATGCACTACCTCACTTTACCCACAATAGCCACAAGTGCCATTGTTTATGCTGTTTACTTTGTTTATATTGTCTATACTGTTTATACTGTTCAGATTACACATTATGTCTTTTATACAGTGTAGCTGCTATCTTGTCTTAGCTGTGTGTGTTTAATGCACAGCATGTTTGCATGCATGTTTGCACTGAGGATGGAGAGGAAGAAATTTCATCTATGCTGCATGTCATACATAAAGCATATTTGACAAAAAAGAAAATGACCTTGACCTTGACCTAGTAGGGCCTGCCGTATGGCTGCTGCACTGTCACATGTTGGTCTTTGGTCATCTCTCGTTTCATCTGTGGTCTCGTCATTTTCACAACTTGCCACCATCCATTCGTTGTCAAAATGTTCTCCCCATTTTTCGCACAAATTGTGAAGTGTACAACATGCTGCAACAATGTTCTTGAAGTTCACCAGGTGTGTGTCCTGTGTTTTGAGCAGAATCCTCCATCCACCTTTCAACCTGCCAAATGCATTTTCCACAACCATTCTTGCCCTGCTATGTTTATAGTTAAATTCTTTTTGAGGTTGTGTCAGTCTACCATTGTCTGAAAAAGGCTTCATAAGCCTCGTAGATAAGGGATATGCTGCATCACCCAACAGTACTAACGGTACTGGCACTCCACCAATATCCTGTTTATCTCACCAAAACAATGAGCCAGATGTTCTGTTTTGATATAAGGGAGAGTTTGTAAATACTCATGCGTCATGTACACTACCTGGCCAGCCAATAAAAATGTCTATAAATCGATAGCTGCTATCGACAACTGCTTGCATAATAACAGAATAAAATCCTTTTCTGTTGTAGTAGTCAGTATGACAGTCGTGTGGTCGAATAATAGGAATGTGTGTACCATCAATTGCACCCAGAACTTGAGGAAAGCCCCAGCGCTGTTCAAAATTTCAGACATTTTCAAACATCAGTTCACCAACAGGCCATTTAATGAGGTCTTGGCTCATTTCCGAGACAATGGCAGAACAAGTCTGATGAACGATGACACAGACTGTGTTTTAGCAACGCCGAAAAAATGTCCTATTGTTCTGTAGCACGTGTTGGTAGCCAGTTTCCATAGAGTGATCGTGACCCATTTTTCCACGCTGATTGGCATTCGCATGGCAGTCGTTATATGTGAGAGGGATGGGCGAAGCTTTTCGCACACATATCCGAATGCTTCCTTGCTCATTCTGCAGTTAGATGTCCAGTTTGAATGAGTAAACGAACCGTTGACAACTCTGTCCCACCAAACAGAACTGCGTGTCTTCATCCATATGGTTTTCTCGGCGTTTGGTGATGCCATGGCGACCGTCCACATGGCCATGGACGCCACGAATTCGTCCACTTATTGCTGAATAAATCGAAGGATACGTTGTTTTCGTGCTCTTCTGTATTTCAGCAATCTTTCTTTTCTCTCTCTCATCCTGCGGCGTCTGATAATCGACCACATCGTTGATTTCTCCGGAGAAAAAGCCATTTTTGTCACAAAGAAGAAGGCGGGGGAAAGGAAGTACACTTTACGCATGCGCATGTTTTACTTCCGCATTACTGTCGTTTTGCTCCGCTGCAGAAACTGCCGTGTGAACCCAAGTGGGGCTGCACCGGCCGGCGCTGCACCGGTGCTAACCAGCGGCTTTGTACGTGTGAACACTCCACAAAATTTGCTCCGGTGTAAGATATATCGCAACAAAATACATCGGTACAACACCGGAGCAAATGTGTGCCGTGTGAACACCCCTAGAGGGTGCAGCTGGCTGAGATGATTAGTGGCTGGGAGATGAACAATGTTTACACAGTCAAGAATACCTTGGGGCAGCAGGTGTTTGTGGCTACTGAGGAAAATGATGTCTTCACCATGCAGGCCTGCGGCCCATCTTGGCCTTTCACATACACCTCTATGACAGTTTAGGACAAGAAATTTTAACTTTGGCACGTCCACTGAGGTGCACGATGTGCTGCTTCCCCTGCTGCCTGCAGGAGCTGGAGGTGCGGAGCCCCCCGGGAAACCCAATCGGTTTTGTGGAACAGAACTGGCACCCCGTTTTGTCCAAATTTACCATTCTGAATGAGACAAGAAATCTCCAACTGAAGATCACTGGGCCATTCTGTGACTGTAACTGTATGTCGGATACAACCTTTGAGGTGACCTCTTTGGATGAGTCTACTGTGGTGGGACAGATTCGTAAACAATGTGGTGGCTTCATACAACAAGGCTTTACAGACACAGATAACTTTATGATCTCATTTCCATTGGACCTGGATGTTAAGATTAAGGCTGTGATGCTGGGAGCCTGCTTCCTCATTGATTTCATGTTTTACGAGAATAAACCCAAAACAATTGATGAAAGAAAGTGCCAGCTTTTTAGCGTTGTGCCTAAATGCCACAGATCGCATAAGCAGGGTTGACAATAATTCAAGATCTGGGGCCTGAATCAAGGTGACTCTTCAATAGATAAAACCCACTGTAATATGTTCTTTTATATATATATATATATATATATATATGTTTTTTATTGACAAAGAAATTGCTGACAAATCGCTTTTTATTTTTTTTAAATAGTAGAAATTGTTGTTAATGTTTTATCAAACATTAATTCCCAAAATCTTGTCTGACAGGGTTGGACCCACTTTCTCCCCTTAGTTGTCTGTCACACATATCCAAGATACTGACAGTTATTTTTTTTTTTTAATTATTATTATTTATTGATGTGGCATCAGTGGAGGTTGAGGTTTTTTTCCTTCCAATGTTTTTTTTTTCTGCCCCAACTGTGTAAAGGACAACATTATGCTAGAAATTAATTACCCCAAAACTAGCAAAGCTGCAATTGAAAATTCTGTCAACTGAAACCTGGTTGATATTACCTATTTTCTAGTTTTAAAATGATGCCGCCTAACCTTGCGACTTTATGGTTAACGAGTGGATTGTGAATCATGAACAATTGAAACTCATAAGATGTTTCCTAAGTCCTCACATTTTTGTAGGTATCTTTCTTGGCGCAGAAGAACTGAAACACACCAAACTTTATTTAAAATGGTCACAAATGAAGAATGATTGTACAAATGGAAAAAAACCCACTGGAAAATGATATGCCAGAGTCAACTTCCCACAGTGACTTAGATTCACAGTGAAAGGACTGACATATCAAATTTTGATTCTTTTGTTACTTTTATAGTTTCATCCAGTCAGACATGTAAACAGAGTTCAGTGAACTTCTTGTTTTTCAGCCAAGATTGTTTTTAGCTGAGTGTCATGATACAGCACAGTCATTAATCTGAATATATGTTAATTGTGTGCATTTGAAAATAATAAATGAGAAAATATATGATAGTTGAGGCCATCACATAGTACGTGGGACTGCCCTTCCTGAATCTCTAAACATTCACCGAGGTGATGCTGATGTCGCCATTGATCTCCAGCTCTGAAATGTGTTGCAGGTGAGTGAAACGGTGCCTGTAGGTGTGAGCTTGCATTCCATTTGCCACGATCCTGAAGGAGTGATTCTCACAACAGATGGTCAGCTATATCAAAACAGTATTGTTATTTGTCAGTCACACGGTCAAACTTGTATTCCAATTCAGTTCAGTTCTTTCCAGATGGCAACAAACTTGATCACTCGGAGTGCATTGCAAATCACCACTGAGATGGCAAACGTGAATACGATCCATAAATGGTAGCAATTGTATTTGATACATTTTTACATATTCAATTTAATAATAATACTCATAATAATTCATGACAGACAGTCCAATGTGGACCTTCCATGACATATGGCATATCATACGGATAATAGAAAACCTATGGACGGACAACAGTGGAGTAACCTACCGTGAAAGACTGTCCCTTGTGAAAGGGCATTGCGCCACCACGTTCCTCTGAGCCCCATTTCTCCCCCTGCTTGGTGTTGCGAACCACGACGTTCTCGTTGAAACGTGGATTATAATGTAGAGCAATGCCAGCGGGATGGTTCAGATTGACATTGAATCTGAGATGAAAAACGGGGAAATATTTTGGAAGTGTTTCACCCTTTCATGCACCACAAATGATAACCTGTAACCTGATAACATGATAAGCTGTCCACTGCAGTAACCGCTGTCCTTGAAAGGGTTAATGGACATCGTATGTCATCTCCAAATATGACTTACCCAGCCAGCTTGCTGAGCAGTTGTTTTTAGTAGCCAGATTGATCACAGTGGGAGAGACCCAGAAAACATAAAATCGATGTAACATGATGAGCAGCAAAGTCTTGGCGAGTGTTTGCGAATGTGGTGAATGTTGTTGTTTTTTTTTGTCAGGGTTTGTTAAAGGTTGCTAAAGGTTGAAGGTAGCCGACAAGAAAAACTGCCACCATTTCAACTGTTGGTGAATGTCTTTGGAATCGTTTGTGACCCTGAACAAAATTCACTACGTCCACAAACACTCGCAAGGTTTCGCCGCTCAGTGTGTTACGGTCTTATACCGTATTGGCCCGAATATAAGACGGTGTTTTTTGCATTGAAATACGACTGAAAAAGTGGGGGTCGTCTTATATTCGGAGTCTAGACATTATACCCATTCACGACGCTAGATGGCGCCAGATATCATTGAAACGAATGCTGAACTTGACTCCCCAGGCCAAAGTGAACCCCTGTCACGAAGAATAAAAATAAAAATAGCAGTAGCACGAAGAAGAAAAATAAAAAATAGCGGGAAGAAAGAAAAGAGAAGTAAATAATAGAAGAGATAACAGAAAATGGAGAAACGTAGTGACAATCTGAAGAAAAGTGGGTCGTAGATCGACCAGGTTTACCGGCAGCTGAGGAGAAGTTATGATGTAATTTACATTTCAAAAACCAGAAGCCATTTATTTGCGAATGTGATTGCACTTTAGTTTACATATTTAAATGTTCAGATATTGAGACTTGAATGAGGCAAAATAACATGCTTTTTCTCTCAAATATATTGTTATAATCATTTGTTTCAGATGTACTGTAATTATTTTCTGTATGAAAATGAATTTGGTGTTCAAAAAGTCTTTTTTCAAACTTGAGTCTTGAAAAAGAGGGGGTCGTCTTATAATCAGGGCCGTCTTATATTCGGGCCAATACGGTACATCAAAACAAAAAATTGACAATGCTATTTATGTCCATGTGGTGGATTTGTTTGTATGCTATTGTGTGGTCAGACTCCACTTTTAGAAGTTCCAAATGTGTTTGGACTGCAGTCTAGTTGTAGTCTCTTCTTGGATGATACGCAACTCAACATTAACAACTATACATATAAATAACCATGTAGCCTAATTTCAGAAGAGATCATATCATATGATATCATAAATTCTTAGCGTGGCACTTCAAACCATTTTCAGGTTATACTATGGGTCCAAAAGTCATACAAGAAAAATCTTACTTCCTGTACTTTTTTTCGCCTTGCATGACAAGTAATTATTCTACTTTAAATGCTACACTTTTGATTATTCTGTAAAAATAAATAAATAAATAAATTGTGAAAACAATTCATCGATTCAGTCTGAACAATGTAAAACAAATGTTAACCCTATGAGGGACAGCGGTTACTACAGTGGACAGCTTATCATGTTATTGGGTTACAGGGTGCACGAAAGGGTTAATAAAGTGTTCAGAATGAAAGATGGATCATTTTTCAATTCAGATTTGAACTCATTCAGAAATAAAGCTTTTAAAACGATGATGCCCGACCTTGTGGCATTGGGGTGAACAGTTCCTTGGATGGTAATGGTCCTACCAGCCCTAAATCCTCCACTGATGAATGCCTTGTATGGAACAGTCTATTCACATATAACAAGAGATCACAAAACAGTTACAAGCTTATTGAATACTTGTTTCATCATCATTCCATTATTTAAGGATTACACAGATCAACTTCTCATTTGGAAAAAAATGTTCATTCAATTTCCTTGAATACTGTGTGTAAAACTCTTCCCCATATGTCTGTAAAAGACTTTTAACTGACTCACATAGATTGCGGGAGCCAATCCTGGTTGTGAGGGGAATCCTGGTTGTGAGGGGAATCCTGGTTGTGAGGGGAATCCTGGTTGTGAGGGGAATCCAGGCTGTGGGGGAAATCCTGGAAAAGGTGAGAATCCTGGCTGGTTTGGACACATTCCCTGTGAGGGAAAACCGGGCTGAGCAGGAAATGCCGGCTGTCCAGGGAATGAAGAGCAACCGATAAGTAGTTAGACTTAAAATTCTCTTCATGAAAAACTTTCATCATACTGATCAATCGTGATTTTTTTTTTTTTTTACCATCGAATTAATGAAGGTAATGGAGGAAATGTCGACTTTTCCACCAATGGAGATGGTATCCACTTGGTAAAATGGAATACGGTGTCTATACTCCATAAAGTGAGCGCCGTTGACGTTCAGCTAGAGACGAAAAAGATGGAAATTACAAAGTCATTTGTGCTGCGGGGACAGATTTGCCGACTTTACGATCAAGGTACTAGACCTGGTAGGAGTCCCTGGTGACTGTGATCAGCAGGTTGAAGGCAGAGCCAGTGGGTAAAGGCGCGTTTTGCTTCCTTTCTTCTTTCCCCCAATGGCCATGCTGGAAGGTATTGGTAACAACATAGCACGGATGACTGTCATACCGTGGGTTGAAATGGAGCGCAATGTCTGCATTTGCGCTGGAGCCACACTGTAAATTCACATGGAACCTATAAGAAAAATTAAGCATACCAATGTATATAATCAGTCGACAAAATTTTGTTATACAACTAAAAAAATGTGTTTTTACTCAGTGGAAATGCAGAAAATGCTGAAAGAAGGATTGCTTTGACCTGTCAGCTCCAGGTTGGACCCATCCACTAATGGTGATGGATTTGCCCTCCTGTAGACCACCACTGATGGAACCAGTGAAGGGAATTCTCTACAAAGAGAAAGACTTCTTGATTTCATATATCCAATTGTAAATGAAAAAATGCTGTATGGTACATACTAAATACATATCAAAGCTGATAATGAGTGCAAAATTACAAAACATTTACAAATAATTATTTGCACTTTCAAAATTATCACTTTTTTTTTGCATTAGCAAAATATCAATGACTCACCAGATTCAGGACAAACTGAGCATCACACCCTCCCTTAATTTTTATGAAGACACCTCTGATAACTTTGACAATATAAACTTCTGTGAAAAGTTTGTACTCTTTAAAAGCAATTTTAACTAAGCTAAGGCAGGGTACATGCATAAAGAGCTTTCAAATCTTAAAAGATTTTTATCTGTGACAGTCCCGACACATTAAGATTTAAAAAAAAAAAAAAAAAAAAAATCAGGCATTTAATAGTTTGGGTCATTTTGTGTGTAGTCTGCTCCAATTATTGCAACACAGAGCACCACACATGTCAAGATTCTTTTCCACCATCGAGCTTGAAACAAAGTCCTCCGAAGCTGAAATTTTGAATGATCACAAGTGATCTGACAAAAATGAACTAGAACACACACTCATGTGCATCGATATTAATCCCACAGTTTGTGAAGAGGACAGTGAGCATGTAAAATGGCGATGTCAAAAAAATACTTGGAAACACCGAATGCTTGAAACAACTGCCTCATTATTGTATTTTCTTGAGGTTCTTAAAAATAGAGCTTTTGTGAAAAATGTATATACCGGTACTCATTAAAAATAGCCCTTTGAGTAACTCAGAATAAAGTTCACAAACAGGAAACAATTAATGAAATTAAAGAACAGACAAGTTCATACGATTTGTCCAAAAATAACTCTGGTATGGCTGACGTTTTTTTTAAAGAATTAGTACCAAGAATCATTAGGACCCGGAATCAAATCGAAGAACAGTAATCGGAACCTGAGGTGTACCATTTCAAAAGATACCTAACCTTACTTGCCATGAACGTAAGCAGGTCTCGTAGGGGTGCAATGATGTTTTGTGGTTGATATGACATGTATCGATATAAGGCCTAACGATTCGACACAAAGAGATATCTTGTTTTTTTGGAACAATACAATTAGATACGATAAATGCAATTTCAACATGATATTTTGATACAGTAACAATGGCGCTTCTGTAAACAAACAAACAAAAACTATACAAATTAATAAATATTCTAATTAAAGGTAACTCCAAATAAACACAATAGAATTGATTTTATTTTAAAACCAACTCAGATTTACTGATTCCAATATGTAAACAAAAATCATTGCTAACAGAACAAGCTAGTTCTCTTAATATTCTAGCATAAACAAAGGGAAACAGAACAAGCTTGTTCTCTTTTTCTACAATAACTTCTCTTATTATCACAATAAGCTGGTTCTCTTTACATATTAAAACATCAACGTAAACAAACCAGTGATTGCTTCATTATATTTGAACAATATTCACCATTCTGTTTTTGTGGAACAAAAAATATACACAAGTATTAAACTTGTATACAGGAACTATCACATTAAATCAACCTGCTGCTGTGATTGTTCTGTTTAAAGGGGACGTCAACCCCAAAATTTTGTTTACAATAATACATTCTATGCAGCCCCACTCGTCTAAAACAGGGTAGTAAATTCTAGCTGTTTTTGTCCATCTCAGGGGGCAGCCATTTTGCCATTTGCTGTCAACTAAAAATGACAGTACGGTTGCTCAGGGCTTAGGTAACAGGTTGTCAACACTGCTGACACTGTGTGTGTGTGTGTGTGTGTTTGTGCGCGCGCGCGTGTGCGCTCGTGTGTGTGTGTGAATGGTGTATATGTACAGTATGAATATGTACAGTAATATGTACATGAGTGCATGAGTGTAAATTTGTAGGTGTGTATATATGTACTGTGTGTGCTTGTGTGTGTTGGTGTGTATGTTGAAAGGCTTTTTTGTATCGTATTGTAATAATTTAAAGTCCAGATAAAAAAAATTACACTCACGTCAGACTGTTCATAAAATAACCTAACCAGGTAACAGCAACTTGTTTATTCATCTCCACAATCACCATATTACCTTTCACAGATGATACACCAACCTGATCTGGTTGAGGGATAACTAAAATTCTTTCTTTTAAGAAGTTTTGAAAATGGGCGAAAAGGTCAACATGTCAGAATTTAGGTCAACATGTCAGATTTCAGAGGCCTTTTAATTTGAAATGGGACATCAGAGCCCTATGAGGCTAGTCTGGTTGGAATGCCTTGGCCGCCCTAGTATGTCCGAGGCCTGGTCTGGTTGAGAGATAACGAAAATGATTTCTTTTAATATGTTTTAAAAATGGGCAGAAAGGTCAACATGTCAGAATTCAGGTCAAGAAGTCAGAATTCAGTTCAGATTGTCAGTTTTCAGAGGCGTTTTATTTTGAAATGGGAGATCAGATCTGAGCGAGGGTAGTCTGATTGGCTACCTGGGGTGCTCGAGTGTCCTAAAGACCTCGTCTGATTGAGGTACAACTAAAATTCATTGTTAAATTATTTTTTTAATAAGGCAAGGAGGTCAAAATGTTATTTTATTTTAAAATGGAACATCAGATCTGAATGCCTGTACTATGGTTGGAAACCTGGGGTGCCCTTGTGTGTCAAAATCCTGATGCGGTTGTGGGATAACCGAGATTCATTTTTAATGATTTTTTTTTTTTTTTA